CGATACGCATGCGGTCTTGAGTCCGGCTTCCGTGAGTCCTACGGCAGCTCGAAGGCCAGCGCCCCCGGCTCCCACCACGATTGCACTGGACTGAAGTTAGCTACGTGCCTCCCCATAGATTGAATGTCGATTACTCATAGTGGTGATCAATGACTGTGAGACCTTTGACATTTGGCCCATTGACGGAGGCGAACTTCCTGTGGTGTCTTGGGTTAAGTAACTGCCGGTGAGCACTGTACTGGCGGCGCGAGATGGTTCGCGCAAAGGCACGCATCATGAAGAGCGATAGGTGAAGAAGAGATACATTGAGTCTTAGCTAGATCGAGAGAAGGGCTTGGAGACATCAGAATAGTACACGCGGTAGTTAGTACCAGTGGCGCTAGCATGTAGGCGTTCGGCATGCCCCTCTAAGCTTCCCTCGGCTGTATAACGACCCAGGGTGGGTGGAGGTTGATAACGCGGAGGACCCCTATACTCCATAGTGCCGAATGCTCCTCGACAGTGGTGTTTCAAGAGTCAGAGAGAGATTATCATTCGCGACGCTGTTGACCTGTCGAGACGCGTCGTCTGATGGAGGGAGAAGTTTGCGGGGTAGACGGGAGTGAATGTTGGAGACGCGATGTGGCGAAGATCTGGGCAGGAACAACATGACTCGTACGTGCGCTACCCCGGAAATGACAGCATCAACCAATCGGTCACAACGCATTACGCAAGGCGAGACACCGATCAGCCTTCCGTCGGCTATACAACATTGCACTAGTCCAAGACCTCACTTTGTTTTCATTATCGCGCTTAGCATTTCATAACAAGTGTTCACGCTTTGTGGCAGCCCCTGCTGGCATATAGCACCCGGTGCATACTCTCCCGTGACGTCATCCGACGAGTGGCAATATGGCGGACTTGGTGTGTCCAACCACTGTGCGTCGGGGAGTAAAGGGCGTAGAAAGGGCTGATGCGGATAACACGGGTGTATAGTCGATGTGAGAAAATTTCTGTACAGCTTATAGACATACCTTTCCAAACGCACAACAGACTTCACCAAAAACCTCCTAACATGACGACCGAATGGGCAAAGAAATGGCTTTCCAACCCCTCATCCACTCCAGCATCTAAGCAAAAGCTCACCATCATCGCCGAGCTCCTTTCCTCCAAGACATCGCCCGAAAGCTCTGCCTCCGCAACAGCCTCCCTCGTCGAGGCGCAAGACGACATCAGCTACGCACTAGCCGATCTCGTTGGTATCTACTATTCGGCTGCTGAATCTTGTACTAGTTTGAAGGAACTGGAACTACTCGTAGCATATCTCGTTGCACTAGCAAGACTACCCGATGCTGTGAACCGAGGGCCAGAGGCCAGGAGCTGGGATGTACCTGGCCTAGAGCCACCACCCAAAATTGAGGTTGGAGAGGTCATTGTGATTGAAGGAAAGAGGCTATGGAGTCAGTTACCGGGGTTTAGTATGCATCTTACGGAGAAGTTTCAGGGTACGTTTGCCAAATCTCTATGCTGCCGGCTGTGACCTTGTACATTTCATGGCTGACGTTTTCATGATAGGTCCCGAGCTATGGACTCACAGTATCCGGAACCCAGCAACCCCTGAGGTCGCAACCACGAAATGGAAAGACTTCAACACTCTCCTCGCCCTAATCGCGCATGACCCGGATGCTCAAACCACACCAGCTCTCGCAGACTACACCAGACTGTCTCGTGTGACTTTAGCCATGGCACTGGAACACTCGCCAGGTACAAGATTGGGCAAGAATACAGCTATGCATGTACCGGCGGCTGCACAGTGGCTTTTGATCGCTGGGGAAGAGATCGACATGATGTGTAGGGCGGGTACGGAATCGATACCTGGGGGTGACCTGTGGGTGGAAAGAGGAGGGAGCCATGTTTGCGATGTGGCAAGATTGCAATTCTGGAAGGAGAGATTGAGAGACTTGGGGTATTGATGTCATTGTTGGTAAGAATAAGCCGACGTTAGATACCGTTATTCAGCTATGCGCCTTATACAAAAGAAATACTTGAACCAGCCCGGAGCCTACATTGCCGTTAGATCACCTACTTGGCATGTTTCTATGTTAGTGTAGGCTGCAGACTTGCTTACGTTTTTGCTAGGGTAACTTGTATGAGCATCAGCTTGTTTTCCGCTTCACTAAAAACTGGACTATATCCTCGCCAATCTATCCTCGTTCGCCTACCCTAATGTCTCGGTATATACCAGATCGATCTCTCAGCTTTCCTAGCAGCTTCGCTTGAGACTTCAACCTCGACCGTTACCGTGCTTTCATCTAACCGACCAATATTCCCTGCGTATTGTTCCCCAGGACGCAAAGGTCTTAGCACAGGCATAGCTGATGCCGACGTCGATTTCGACGCCGATACTGATGGCCTCTCATCCGACGATGAAGCAGGACACGCTGTTTCTAATGTCGGTCGTCTAGGTTTTGATGAACGTTCCTGGGTAACAGGCAGTTGTATTGGAGCGCCATTATTGCATACAGGTATACATGGAGGGTGCACGATGGTCTTCGTGCGTTTCTTCGGTGAAGTGCTGGAAGTCGTGGTTGTCGAGAAGGAGCTTGCACGCGTTCGGTTACTAGAAGGGGATATTGAACGACTTGATGATGATGATGAATTTTGGTCGGCCGTGTATCCAGACGTTGCGAGCGAAGTGCCAAAGACGCCTAAGTAAGACATCTTGCGTGTCTATAAGTTGGACTCAGGGAGATGGTGTGACCAGTCGATTGCTATTTGCTCTGCGTTCAGATGTCGTAGGACTTTCCCAAAGTCTCACGGGACTAAGGTGCGTCGGAGGTTGTCGCTCGGGGTGAAACAGAGCGTCGTTGAGCCAGGTGCCTGCGCCTTCATTCGTACAACCGATCTGGCAAAGGTCTTTCGGAATCGTTACTAACGAGCCGGTCGAGTCTGTGTGGGGGCGGCGGAACATTATGGCGCTTTGGAGTATGTGATGTAACCACTGTATCGTGAATGGACGTTATCGCTGGAGAGTAAGTGAATAGTGTCAGACAGCGTGAAGAAACGAAAAGCACAGGCGAGCTCTTTTGACACAGTCTCATTTGGTATAGTACTGTATCCACAGTGCTCGATCAAAAGATCCAGAAGCTGGCTAATACCAGTCGAGCTCATAATAGTAGCAATGTTCACCTGGGAATAAAAACGCCTTTCCAATGCCAAACGCCAGCGGCTATGCATCCCTCCAGGCAATGCAATCGCTATGTCGCAACCCATAAAGTCATAATACAATCGTGTCGTGTCATTTTGCGCCATTCCCATGCTAAAACGCCTGAAGATCCCAACTTTTGCTTGCGTCGGTCATCGTTGCATGTACATGCCGGTGGTGACCATGACATTGCCATAGCGCTCGTTGGCGCGCCAGAGGTACTTTAGGAAAACGATAGCTTTCAGGTAGACTTTCATAATGCGCCTCCGTCGGACTCGATCGGCTTCCAGGATTTTGCGCAGCGCCTTGGAGACAGCAAAAGGTGAGGCGACCCTCCGGGATGGTGACTGGATGATGGCGGGCCACGACGTCGCTCGGGTCAGCGTCGGCGGACTCAGGTCGGAAACCTCGGGTAAGAAAGCCGCTGGGGTCTCGGGCGCATCGTTAAGTGAAGCAGGACCGAATTGGGCGTCGAGAGGTTCATACTCGAAGACTTCTGGAATGCTTCCAAGCGTGGGAGAGAAGGCCGCTGAGCGGGGAGTGCCGGGTTGGTGTGACATTTGAGTGGTAGTATTTTCTTTTGGTGGTGACTGTCCTCTTCTTGGTGGTGAGGGACGGGCAGGTTGATGTTGCTGCTTGGGTGCGCGTGGTGAGAGTTGGATGGAGGGTTGGCTGGCTGGCCAGAGCGGAACGGAGAAACGCCTAAACATGGAGCCCGTTTGTTTTGCTGACTGATTGAGGAGAGCGTCGCATCGTTGCGGTGAAAACAGCAGCATGTCGGACAGTGAATGTGTTGCACGACGAGGCTGAGGTGAGGACGAGATTGGGAAAACGAAGGAAAGCAAAGCGCTGGCGGCACCGCGGATTAAGGCTGACTTTCACCCATTGTTAGTCGTGAGTATAAACAGTTAATCCCCGCTTTTGCAGGACGGGAAGGGCACTAGGCACTGGGGCCCAATGATGTTAGCATACGGGCGACGGTGATCGTGTGGACAAACGCGTTTGTTTTGCAGACAACACACTGGCAAGCCACTTCCCGTGGTCACACGAGCTGGGAGCACGCTGACCTTTGACGAGAAGACGCGCCGCTGCTGCCTCACACTCCTGGGTGCTCTGCGAGGAGGTGAATATTACCCCGCTCAGGCATTGTGCGATTGTAGATGAGGCATGACGTCGCTATGGAAAAAGTTTGGATCGAGAGATCGAGAACTCACATCAACCGGCGCAGAAGCCGCCAACGGTAACGCTAGCCTCTAGCCCAATCACGCGTGAGACGCCCCTTCCTGTCCCCAACTCCTTCACACCACCATTGACTGCCTCTACCACATGGCCAGGGTGATACGCCGTCTGTGTGCAGCCGCCTGATGCAGCGCATCGCAGATGCAAGCGTGCGTGTCCTTTGATGCGTCACCGGGTAGTCAGAGCCCTGCCATGTCGCTTTCAGCTGCCTTGTCCTCCGCGGACTGCCCTTGCCGTGGCCTGCGTCTCACCGATGAGGGCATGCTCAGGCTTTGCACGTTTCACGGCGACGCCCAGCAAAGATAGGCATCAACTGAGCAGTAATCATCTTCTGCGCTGAGATAGATGCAGAAGGTCCTCGGGACCCTTGTACGGCGGTAACCTACCGCCTGCTTGGGATGCGGAGAAGCCAGAGCTATACAGCACCAAAGTTCCTCTCATCTCCCGCTGCAGGTCTGCCTGTCTGCCATCGCCTCTGCGACGTCGCCTACGACGGATTCTTTCGCTTTTGCTACTACTCTGCTTAGCCGCCTCTAGCATCGACTAGGCTGTCTGACTCCGAGTCACCATCAGCAAAATGACGTACACCAGGAAGCAGGTCGTGACTTGCATCAGCGTGCTAGTAGGGTCTCATACGGTGCGAGCTTTCACGTGCGCGTTCTAACAATATCTAGTATCTCGTCATCGCAACCGCGCTCGCAGGGTAAACTCACATCGTAACCGACGATGCTAGAAGCGCGCTAACACGTCTAGGTGGGCTGCCTCCCGCGCGAACGCTCGTTCAGTGCCCATCTCCGACACATTGACCGGCTTCACTACGGCTCTACCCATCGTCTCAGGCCTCCTGCTCGAGTGCGGCTATGACTTCACGCGTCGGCAAGAGCGTCGCAAGCATCTGGGCCGCGGCGAGATCCAGCGCCCGCCACTCGTAATCATCGCGAACACGCTCATCTTCATCTACTCGACGGTCGTCGTTACCCTCGTCGGCACTCATGTCGCGCCGCCTTCTGGGTTAGATTGCGGACTGCGCGAGCGCTGGCAGACGTTGTTCAAGCACAAGGATGCGAGTGCCATCCGCCAGATCCAGGATGCCTTTGAGTGCTGTGGCCTCGCCAACGCGCGCGACATGGCATGGCCTTTCCCAGACAAGACACACAAGGCCGACGCATGCCAGATCACGTATGCTGGCAGAGCTGATGGCTGCTTTAAATTCTGGAAGGCTGAGGAGCAAGTGGTTGCCGGCATGCTCATGTCCGTCGTGGGCATGGTTTTCATCTGGCAGGTACGTAGTGGAGGGTTACAGCGCTCCGAGACGCCAATACTAACTTGACTTCCTAGATCCTCATCATCGCTATTCCCACACAGAAGGAGTCCTGGCTGCATCGTATTGCGCCGGAACGTATCTCCCGCATGATTGCCGACGAGCGCAACGGCGACACCGAGCCTCGACGAGCCATCGATTACATACCCGGCTACAACAGCAACCGCTACTCTGACCGCATCGAGGAGGAGACTGAAGAAGACAGCCAGGACTCAGTCCGTGCTATTGAGGAGGGCAATCGCCGCCTCGATGGCGCGCTGCCAGGACATGTTGAGCGCGACCAGCAGCCTAGTGTCGAGAACGAATGGGCGAGGAACTAGCGAATTGGATGTATACAAGCTGCGGTAGTATGCAATCACGCACTAGACGTTCGAGAAGCGGCATGGCAGAAAATTGGGGTGCCAGTTATGCGCGAAGTCACAGCTCTGTGCATCTCGAGACTGGTCATCTCATCCTGACTGCGACTAGAAGCGGGAACACAAAGGGCCAGTTCGACTGGTCCAGCATCTCGTCTATGAGACAACACCGTCCACGACTGCAGTGTCGTCTCTAGCATGTCTTTTCCGAGTCAGACAGTATGGGCTGTTCCAAACAATGCAACGTAGTGTCTTATATCGTCAACTATGACTATTTAGCGTATACTTTCGACCGCTTTCATTCACAATGCACTTCAATCTCATTCGTATATACTCAAATCAACATGTTCGCTCACAGTGGACTGCTCGAGGCAGACTGACAGAGCATTCTGACATACCTATATAATGTTCGACTCTCGAGTCCTGTATACCCGCAGACCACAAACATCATATCACACGCACGTCACAGCGATGTCCTCCACCAAAAACACCACCACCTATCTGTGCTCGAACAGGCCGCGCCTTAACAGTGTAAACACAGCCCACACCTTCGATGACATTCTCCCACCAGAGAGAATGACAACATGGGAAGACTTGGACGCCAAAAAGAAGGACAAGTTTTCCCACAAGGTCAAATCCAAGGTGGGGAGTACCGCAAAGTCCGCTTTAGCCAAGACCAAGGAGAAGTTGGCGGAGAGCAAGGCGAAAAAAGAAGCCAAGAAGGCGGAGAAGGAGGAGGGGAAGAAGACAAGGATCGATTCCGTAGTGGATTGATTTAGCTGGTGGAAGAGGAGGAGGGTTGTGCATGAGGATAAGTAATAAGGTGAAATGAAGTTTGTTTGACAATCTGAACTCTAAGCTTGGTGATCACTGTACGTTTGATCGAGTAGGCGTCCCAGTGGCTCTTGTTGCATACGGGTCGACTCTCTTGTGGCGAAAGTGTCCTTCTACTTCTGTGCTGATCGTTGATAGCTTGAAAGACTTTATTGACTATTGACTTAGAGCTAAAGGGTGGGATGCTGTCTATGGTGCTCTAGCAATCTTTCTCGTCAGGGTGGTTTGGTGATGAGAGCGTCGAATTGCTCTGATAAGCGATACCTTATGCGCTGTCTCTTTCTTTCGCTGCCATCCGGATCCCAGGCTATGACTCGTATTTGGTCGTCGATAGGTGATTCTTGATGTGTTTCCAACGCGTCGCTTACAGCTTCCTCCACGCAGGCATACGCGAGACTGGTACTTGGCTCATAAAAGACCTCTTCATCATTATCCTGGAACTTGGAGTCTTCCCAATCAGATACATCCGTTTTCTCCAGACTCTTTACATGTCCTTCCGACGCTTCCTCGGTGTCTGTCGCCGTATCATCTTGGTCGAGTGGTGGAGGGTCTAAAGAGTGCTCTTGGTCGCTCTCGTGATCGCCGAGCTTTGGCTCCTCTATAGGAATCGTCTCCACTATCGATAGATCATTGTCCTCATCCTTCTCGACTTCTTGATGCTTGCATTGGGTGACTGGTTCAAGCAAGCCATCGTCGACTGGCGGTATGGGTACAGGATGCATGGGCGGTGGGCTGATAACGTCTGCATCGTCCTCGATTACTTTGATTGCCTCATTCTCCGGACTTTGGCTGGTAGTATCTTCAGTTCCAGAAGAACCGTTATCGGGTAGATCGGCATCGTACACACGTAGCCATGGCGCATGTACTTCCTCAGTAGTACCACCATGGTCGTCCGACAGCCGGTGCAAACTTCCGCTGACAGAGACCATAGGTACTTTGTGATCGTTCACGGCAGCTTCCAGTAACGCAGCTTCTTGGCGCTCAAGCTCAGCTCTCTTTGCAGCAAACTCTGTCTTAATGTCTGCTAACCTCCCGTGTAGTAGTTGTTTGTTGCGTACAAGCTCTTCAATAGCATCATGAGTCCTCTGCCGTACATTTGAGAGAAATATGCCGCATTTGTCGTCATGTAAGAGCCTCGCAAGAAGTACAGCATCGGTAAGGTGCTGTAAGAGTTCACTGGAAGACAGGCGAACTCGGTGAACGGCGTTATGTCGGAGCTGGATAATCGATTCCATGAGACCGGGCAAAGGCTTTACATCGTCTTTCATGTCGTCCAATTTGAGTTCTTCTCGGTAGATGAGCAATGTTCTGGCCCATTGATTGAGTTCGACTGCCTCTGCGCAGTCCCAACCTTCACGATGTAAAAGCCCAATCAGCCTCTCCTGCGCAAAGTCGAAGCAGGCCTTTTCAAGAGTGTATTGGACTCTGACGAGGATGCGATGCTGGTCCCAGAGTGGTATGGCTACGGAATCGAACGACTGCGTGTGCGAGGCTGCTTGAACTTTTTTTTCAGCACGGCTTGAGAATACGTTGATGCCACATACTATTCTCAATCTTCTCTCTCTCCTTCCTGGCTTTGAGCCTGTCACCGATACCCATGAGTTCCTCGGGACTACATACCCCTCCTACGGGCTGCACAGCTGCTGCACTACTTGCTGCAGTGCTGGACTCGGTAACTGCTGGCTGCACAGCCGCTGCGCTGTTCGTTCCGGTCTGGAACACGGGGGCATTTACTGGACTGGGCTCATTCGAAAGGCCCCCAAAGACATCAGGAAAGCGTGTTTTCGCTTTCTCGGTTGAAGCAAAGATCTGGTTTCCTGACAGAGCGAAGGCTACCGCGGTAATACCTTCCACTCCATATCTTTGAACTAGAGGCGCAACCTTGGCGTCATATCTATACTTCTCAATATTCTTGCGAATCTTTTTCGCAGTGCTAGGCGGTGTCGGACCAATGCTGAAGATGTCCTTGAGCGCCAGGTACACTTGCTTCTCGGTCAACGGAGGGGCGGCCATGGTTCTTTATTTCGACTTTCAGGTATAGAAGGAAGGGAAGCAGTGGAATTGTGCATCGCGGTTTTGGCCTTTGCCTCCAGCTATATGTAAAGGCGCCTCAACCGCTGCGCCTCAATGTTGCCTTGAGGAGCTTGCGCATAAACATTCACTCAGCTGGAAATGCACCCCGCGCATGGATGTCTTGCCCAGCGAATGATTGATCCGGGTTGACGCCATGTTTGTGGGCTAGACTGCGAGCCTCAGGCGTGGCTTGCTTTCCGACGTGGCTTCCTGGCGTAAAAAGCTGAACACGGAGCCCACTGCCGTTCGACTTGAGGCTCGGTACATAGCAAAAGTCTGCCTGAATGGGGAGCTCGTGAATGACTATCGTCCTAGGCGTGCGAATAATTCTCTCGCTGGTGTGTCGCGTCATATGAGTCCATCGCGATCGCAATGTGGTGGTGTTGGAGGAGAGAAGCAGGTGCGGGTGCGGGCCGGCGGCAGGAGCCCTGGTGACCCTTGAAATTCGCCGTTCCAGCCCCCCAAATTTGGCGCCCTCGTCTGACGCGACAACAAGACGGTCGACGCGCCAAAGCATTGCCATAAGTTCACGTCAATCAAGGCAGAAACTGAACACCCTGGAGCGTACATTAAGGTCATATTTTCTAATCTGCTTGTCTCATCATACTGTAGTCTGCTGACCTGTTCAGTTTGTACGTATCTGAGGTGAACTTTGATCACATCCAGAATAGCATGTCATTTGCGCAATGAGCTTTGGAAGAGTGCGCAACCCCAATCACACATCGAAATCTTGCATATTGAAAGGTTTTGATGGAATTGCGCTCCCAGTCCGCGATCATTTTGTCTTGTGAGCAAAGCTCAGCGCCTACATACCTACCTAGGTATCTACACAACATCAACTACGCCTACTCCGCAACGAACGTGGAGCTATCCCATCCATACACCTTCTTCAAGCGCCGGGAGTAGATGAAAAGACGTCGCCCCTCGATACTCGCCTGATGCGGCCGATGAAGCGTTATGTCCCTGCGTACCGACACCTTCTCGGGAGGAACGAATGTGTAAATTGAGCCGACTTTGGGATCAATAGTAAAGCCGAAGTCTGTCATGGCAGCTACGAATGCGTCCCAACGTACTGGGCTATGAGCTGCTGACGATCTTGAGAACAGCGACGAGAAGACGGCGGCAGTGGAGGGTTTGACGTAGAACGTCTCCTTTGACGAAGCGGGCTGGTCATTCGTGGTGGTTTGTGGCGTTATGTCGTAGATGGGGGTTTGCGCCGGTCGTGTCTTCTCCTTCTGTTTGCGCTGCTCGATGTTCGATGCTGGGGTTTCGGGAGCTGATGGGGCCTTGTATTCGGATTGGCCTTGACTAGCTTTTGCCTTCTGCTGCTCGTACTGTTGCTGAATGCTGGATGCGCAGTTCTCGACTAGGTCCTGGTAGAGAAAGCCGAGCTTCGTACCCGTCTTTGCGACAATGTACTGATCGAGTGTTGCGAGAGCGCCTTCAGCCATCCCTGGTTCCAGCAAGTTGTCAATTGGAATCGCGTACTCACCGAGATCTATGCCGTCTTTCAGTGACCTCAGCTCCTTGTCCAAAGCTGTGTAACCCGGTACGAATGGCTGGCTCTTCTTGTGGTTCGGTACGGGTAATTGGACGACTGACGAGAGAGACTGAATGAAGGTGACAATGATGGCAAGGTCTCCGAGGCAGTCGTACTCTCGCTCCGAAAGATTGTCTCGCTCTAGCGGATGGGCTCGATGGAGATCTTCTAGCTTCTGAAGCCACTGCGCAGCCCCGGACCAATTTGTATCCTCCTGGCAGAGTCGAAGAATGTAGTGTAACTGCGGGTTCTCTACTGTTAAAGACTCGGGGCTTCGCTTCAGTAAGATGCGCGTAACTTCGTCCTTCTGTACGGTCCACATGCGCTTGAACCACTTGCTGCCTCCCATGCCGACGGCCACACCACGTTTGAATCCATTCTGAGCGCGCAGATACTCCAGGTGACAAGTGTTCGAAAGCTCCTTGAGGATAGTCGCTCGGAACTGTTTGTCTGATGATTCCTTCAGCAAATCCATAAGACGGCCAATGTAGTTCCATGTGGCAGCGATTTTTACCGCGTTCTGGACGACATCGAATACAGTACCGCTGATGTATTTATCTGTATGTACAGGCAACATCCGGCCCTTCTCATCGGCGACAAGTTCCGGCCTACTGAAGAAGCAAAAGTTGACTTCATCGGCTAGGACCGTGGGCTCAGTGGAGATGAGACTAATGAGATCTTCACGCGACGACACCTGATCGTGAGCCATGTCGACGAGGTCTGGAAGTTCGACCTTCTTCGGAGCCGAGTGTACGGATAACTTTGCTAGAGCTGCAGTCGCCTCGTCGGCTGGCTTCTTCGGGCGCTTTTCCTGGGTTCGCGTGGTAGACGCGGTATCGAGAATGTCTTCAATGCTAATGTTGAGTAGCTGCAGCAGGTTCGTCTGTCGCATGAGAATTAGCTCGCCAGTAGCCTGGGGTACTATGACTTGAGCTTGTATGGCCGGCTTCATGTTTGCCAAAACCTCTTCCCGCTTTTCTGCGAGGATCTGGACCGATTCGCCGTAGCCATCCTCCGTCAAGAAAAGCGTGTAACAGTTCTTGAATTGGGCGGCGTCTTGGAGTCGTAGGTTCTTCCTCTGCATCATATCAACTATATGCGCGTGATCGCCTGGACGTCCATTAAACCCTGTCGCGTATTGGTCTTTGAGTGGCAGGGTTGCCCGGTGCTTTAACATATCGAGGAAGAAGTTTGATGAAGGGGCAGTGATGTCGCGTATGTTCCATTCGGGAATGAACTTGTAGACATTCTCTAAGCTCGTATCTTCAGCATGCTTCAGGACAGCGCCATCACGAGAGCCAGCCTGCATGATCTTCTTGCGTTGTTCTTGGCTAAGCGAACGCCACCTTTCTTCGATGCGGGGGCCATGCTGTCGGTACTTGTTGGCAAGATCGCGATGGAGTTCTATGAGTGTTTCGTTCATTTTGTCTGCGTTGGTGGGAGTTGGGCGTGGGAAGTGTGATTTGCCGGGGGTTTTGTCGCGGGTTGATCCAGGTACCACGCTAGAAATCGCTGTCAGCCGGACTGCACTAAGCCTATCTTGTCTTAGAGCGGTTGATCCAAGTCGTTCACGAGTGAGAGGTATCTGCGGTCAACACAATCATTGAGTTTGGATATCCTGAGCCTGATTGGAGGCAAACGATTACGATATTGACTTGAGCCATAGTTCGATAGGTAGATCACGTACCTTGCGGCAGTCATGTTACGGCAGTGCTGCAAGCCACCTTACGCCACGAGCAGGATATGTGTACATTGTGCTTGTTTGTTGCATCTAGCGCAGCCTATCGGAAATGCATTGAGTTCTGGTTGGCGCGTGGGCGGACCAAAATCTAGCGTGTAGGCGTAATCGAGATAATTAAGGGTCTTTGAGCTGAGGACAGGTTCTGTATAAGGTACATGTCTCTCAATAATCAACAGCCATTTTGGAAGCGCCCTGCTACCCACACGATAGCTATGCCGCATGTTTTGGATTATGCATATGAATATCAAAGGCTCCCGCCATGCTCTGAACTCTGCAACTCAGATTTCTGATTAGTGAGATCGGTTTGTTCTCCATCCCTTGCTCGCATGGATTCGCACTGCCGCCGTCGGTCTTTGACGGCGTCTATGGCCTTTTTCGTCTCTATCTCTGCAATTCCAACATCGTCGAAGAAAGACACAATGCCAGGTAATAGGCCAAGCCGACCAGAGTGAATAGCCAACAGCCCAGAGCGGGTGTAAGTAAGCCCGCTGCTCCGTTAAAGCTGCCAAGGCTAGAGATAGAGCTGCGCACAGCTAAAAAGAGGCGTCTTATACCCCCTCTAGCAGCAGCAACAGGCTATAATAAAGTATAAGAGGGCTATAGGGCAGAATTAGGGGTATGCGGGCTGTCGCTTCGCGAAAATTACACCTTGCAGAGCCGCTTCGCGGAAGTTAGAGACTCTGTATTGTATTGTTAGATGCACCAGAAATCAACTATCGGCTCCGACAACCTCAATGGTCGTATGTCCACGGAAGCTATCATTGGCCTTATTGGTGTGGTTGTAGCCGTGTTGGGAATCGCCTCTTCGCTAGCGTGGTCCAAGCGGAGGAAATCGCGCAGCGGATCCCGTCGCAGTCCTACCCCAGATGGTGCGTTCTCATGCTGCACTCTTCCCACTTCAAAAGACGGCGAAGCTGACATGCAGGCTTTTACTCAGAAGTGATAAATTTCAACTATCCGACGTATGGCCATGCCTTCACACCGTTGCAATCCGCCAGTACCTGGGCGCGCACAGCTAGCGATGGCGAACAGGCACCGTCGCATGAACAGTATTATCATGTGCACTGTGAGCGCTTGACGGTACGAGGCTCGCTAAGATGATAGGTGTCGAGAAGGTCGAGGCAGCATGGTTTTGAGGGTTCCAAGGTTGATTCACGGTCGACAGCAGTGTTGCATTTTCAGAAGTCTACCCACCGTATTACTATGGCATTCTATCATTATCATTGAAAGCCCATTGCACGCTTTCCATTGCCAAGTATGAAGCGTTTACAAGCTCGGGCTACACAGTAGACTAGCATGGGCGGCGAACTTCAAATACGGCTCGTCCGGGGCCGCGACGTGGAGACATGGTGAAAAAAGAAGGGGTATCGTCTTTTGTCCCGTGCTGGAAGTGTATAGTCTCGTGCCGAAGCAAGCGTGGCCTTCCAAGTTTGGGAGCAGAAGACGGAAGAAATTGCCGCCGCGGGGTCTCTTGCCATCGCTGCACCTTCTTCGTGCACGGTCTTGCTGCCGGATCTTCGCCTTGACGCTGGCGTATTTTACCACCCAAAACCTCCTCCGAGCCCCGCACAGTCTTGTTGGCACCTGTTCGAAGCACGCCGCCCGCATGTTCTCCACACTGGCGTGCATTGCATTGCGAAAACCTCCTCCGAACTTTGTACGAACGCTGTCTAGCCAATCAGAGGCCGAGCCGAAGATGGACAAAACATCTACGAAAACCTCCTCCGAAGAGGCACGAGAATTAGTGATCTGCCCACAATTCGTATAAAATGTCTTCCTCACAGCGCTCACTCCGCGCTCACTCCATTCGACTACCTCTCTCTTTCTTCCTATCTCAAAGTATCAAGATCTTTGCTCAATTCCTAATCGCTTCAAGATGGCTCCTCACAGACTGCAAGTCGCTGTTGCCGGTCTCGGCCGCATGGGCGCCCGACACGCTTTGAACATCTTGAACAAGACCCCCCGCGCTGAGCTTGTCGCCGCATTCTCTCCAGATCAACAAGAGCTCAAATGGGGCAAAGAGCACCTCGAGCCATACGGCGTGACACTCTACGACGACTACAAGAAGATGCTCGCGCACAAGGGTCTCGAAGCTGTAGTGATCGGCACTGCAACCTCGGTGCATGCTGAGGAGACTCTCCAAGCTATCGAGAAGGACCTACACGTCCTTTGCGAGAAGCCTCTCTCCACCAGTGTTCAGATTTGCCAGGATGTCGTCGATGCAGCTGCGAAGAAGCCGCACCTCAAGGTCATGTGCGGGTTCTCCAGACGATTCGACGACAGCTACCAAGATGTTGCGAAGAAGATTGAGGAAGGCGCAATCGGCAGACCAACTGTTGTTCGGTCACAAACCTGCGACAGGCAACACCCTGACCCAGGTACGAAATGAAATAACTTGTATATTGATGAGCTGTTTACTGACTATCTCGTCTAGACTTCTTCGTTCAGTACGCTGCATGGTCTGGCGGTGTATTCGTCGACATGTCCGTGCACGACATCGATCTAACTCTATGGTACTTCGGCTCCAACGTGGTACCCAAGTCCATCTCCGCGAACGGTGTTGTCGCCATCCTGCCAGGCCTCAAGCAACACAAGGACTATGACAACGCCGTTGGTATCGTTGAGTTCTGGGACGGCAGAATCGCACACTACTACGCCTCTCGCATGATGACGCACGGTCAAGAGGATGTTACCGAGATTATCGGTACCGAGGGAAAACTGACCGTCAACCTCAACCCCCAGAAGAACCTCGTCAACTACTACTCAAAGGCCGGCATCACCCGAGAGGTACCCAGCGACTACTGGGGTCGATTCGAGCCTGGCTTCGTCAAGGAGGCGAATGAGTTCACTGCGGCGTGCTTGGATAACACCCCTGTACCATTGGAGTTCCAGAACGCTGTCAAGGCTGTGCAGATCGGAGCTTGGTTGCAGGAGGCACTTGTCAGCGGGAAGCAGATTCGATTCGACGAAAGCGGCAAGCGTATCGACCGCGCAAACTTATAGACTGGACATTTGCGTCGATCAGATGGAGCAGCTACAGTGAAATACTTACGTTTCCGTTCACCAATACCACCGCACTTCTACACCGTCCATTAGCTCTACCTCGTCTTTTGTCAATGCAAGCTTGCACACATACGCGTGTCGCTTTCTTCTCTCGAAGCCTTATCATTACCTACCTGGTGATCGCATATGCCGCAAAGCGTCAGCTTATCATGTTCTCGAAACCTGCGACGTGCGAAATCCGCTACCTGCCTAGATCGCTTCACCACATTCAAGGAAAGCTACAAACACCCTGCGGTCTACATCAGTATTAAAATAGACTTTGGTAAAACTTAATGCAATGTAGACTTCTTGGATACTTATTTCTTGTACCTGCTGTGGGTGGCTAGGGCTGTGTACCTAGGTATTCTTCCCCTGGTTTGATGTGGCTTGTGGATTTACCCCTCATTCAGCTCCCTACCACAGCCAGTGACAGCCGTCCTGCAATTTAACGCCATGCCAGCACTCAGCCCCATACTGTAGGCTGTGCCTCTTATCGGTCCTATCGTCCCAGCTGGCGAGGCGCACTTATTTCAATCTTTCGAGATTACTTCCGCTTGATTTTCCACCTGAGCTTCTTCCAGAGCCCTCCACTACAACTTGGGGCCCGGACATGTGCTCGTGATGTCGGGCCTTCCCTCCAAACTAATGTCCGTCTTCTCTGCTACCAACGAGAACTATGCTGCGCTAGCGAATATCAAGTTCGATTTCTCACTCGTCAAAATGGAAGCGCCAATCGAGTTTAGTGGTATTGCTTCCGGGCTCTCTACCAGAAGACGAGTTGAGGCTGAAGAAGGCCCTTCCCACAAGACAGCACGTCGGCTGGGGGCTTTGTTCGAAGATGTTGTGCCATCCACGCCAAAGCTGATATCTGCATACGGGCGGCGAATGTCGGAGATCATGAATACCTCCGGAGTCAACGACATCGGCGCTGGTCAGCATGGACCGTTCGAGCCATATGTTGGAGCGGATGGTACGACTCTCTGGGCTGCGGCAACATCTGGGATACCGGCTCTGGGAGTGTATCTCCTCAGTTGCCTATTGGCTCGCGCTTGGGACGCAAAAGTAGCTACAGCAATATGGGTAGAGATAGTTGCAGCAAGAAAGATCGAGATCGAAGAGGGACTCAAAAGCAACGGCAACGTGTCTGCCACCTCGCTCCTTGGTGCATGCCAAGACATCACCAGAAAAGATCTTGCTTTGTGGGACAGTAGTGCAAGAGCCTGGCTTCGCAGAGCGGACAAATCGAAACAATTTGCGCAACGTCAACTGTCGCTCATTGTCAAAAACATCAATACTCCAATCCCGGGGGGTCCTTCAACCTACGACCAAGTCATGAACGTGTGGAAGCGATCAATGCTGGCTGTCGAACAATTTCTGTCCGGCAAACCACAGGATATCATCGATGGATCGGTATTCGTAGCGTTTTCTGCGTGGCACCTCTACCCAGACCTGATTGTGTTCACACCTGAACCCAAGAAAGTTGAGTTCAGAGATAAACTCATCCCTTCCTCCGGAGTAGGCACTGTTGGTGTAGAGAATAACCGGAGATCTTCGGAAGGAGAAGGTGTGCAATGGTCACTAGCACTATCACACCTACAGTATTATGGCGCTCCAGTCGTAGTCAGCAGCAACCAAGAAAGTTCGAGAGTGACCTTTCGTCAACTACAGATCGTTGCGTTGGGTGGTTTGCTTGGTAGATGGAGGGTCAGTTCACGGGACTATAAAAGAGTAGCGGAATGGTTTATTCTCCTGTGGTCTCGACTGGGAATGTCTGAAGAAGACGTCAAAGAAGGCAAATCCTCTGAATTCGGATGGCTCCTACCTTTTGTACTTGCGGCAAATCAGCTTTTAACTACGAACGATCAAGATCGCAAACGTAACGAGACATTGTTGAAACACGGCACCAGGAGAGCAAAGTGGTTCTTGTCTAATCAAGAGCCTACCCCTTCGCCATTCTTTGGTCTACTCAATACACTCGTAGTGTGTGGACTTCAAGAAAAGCTCGACATCGACTCTGGCATCGCTTACCTTCGTGCCGTAGCGGAGAAACTGAAATTAGACGGAAGCGATGCAATCATCTGCTACGCTCATAGCGCTTCGAATAGACACTTTGCTGCAGCAATTGACTACTACGAACTCGCCACAGTACAGACATTCGACTCGGACAGTCATACGACATGGATCTGCCCAAGTGGCGAGTCACCACCACTCCCACCTCCAAGTATCAACTCGAAATTGGTAGAAGACAGAATAAGATACATCGCCGGTAGAGGTGAGCTGTGCGTCCGTTATGCCACCCGGCCAGACTTCGATGGGAACGCCACTCACTTCAAGTGGGCGGACCCGCCACTACCCTACCAGCCAAACTATTCGACCATCGCGTGTCACCATCAAGATGAGAGTCGCCAATCCAAGAAAGTCAAATTAGAGATTGGATTCGACGCTATTCTTGGTGATTCGCGCCTGGGCCTATTCCTCCAAAGCGAGGCGCGTAGTGTAACCCGTAGAGGTCGCGATCCATTGCAGTCCTATCAAGAAGAGGCGAGACTTGAGACAATGAAGATAGACACTCTCCCGGTTGCAGTAGAGAATTTCAAGGAAGCGAAAACGCAATCTGCTCGATTGAGAGATTACATGTGTTCTTTGGTACACCTTGACGAAGAAGAATCGAGATACAACTCTATCCGGGCACCTGGCTTATCATTGTTCTCGAGCTTCCACAAGTTTGACTTTGCTTTCAGCAAATCGTTGTATGCTCTGGAGTCAGCTTCGTACGTGTACAATGATCTCGTTCACGCTACAATCTCGTTGAAGCTGATAGCCATACATCTATCGAGTTCTGCGTGGTTCAAATGTTTGTTCGATAGGTGGCAGATGCGCAACAATGATCCAGATCCCCGGTTTGATGGAACGCCCCTTCTCACCTCGTTACGAGCTCCGCTACCCGACCGAAATGAGTCGTTCGGCTGTATAGCTTTATTTGACTCGGGAGTGGTCGATCTCGTTCCCGAGGACTTCAGCCATGCATTTGCTTTGTGCTCAGAAGATACAATCTACGTACCAGCAGTTGTACTATCTGATCCTTTCGTCTCAGTAGCAGACCACGAAATGAGAAGTATCACGGGTAACATTGGCCGCCAAGGCATTTCGATACTCGTCTCACCTGTCGAGCCACGAATACGCGAACTCAGCAACAACTATGAGCTGGTATCACACGAGCCATACGACTTCAAACGCGAAGACAACTTTGGGGCAACTTCATTACACCTATCCTTCACCGACTGGACAGTCCCCCTCGCAACCGAAGACATGCGAATGATAGACCATGATGCTCACGCAGTAGAAGCCGTCATATCTATCCACGACCGCGGTGTTTGGGTCGGCGACATCAACATTCTCGACGTCGATTTTCGGGATATGCTCCGGTTTAAACCAATGACGTCTTGCAAAGGAGATCATAGCCAAGATTGCGACGTTGACTACACATCCATCGATAGCTGGGAAGAGTTGCTGGATGAACCTAATGGCGTTGGCGTTTTTAGAGCGCATGGGAACTGGGCCGCACGGCTGGCTGCAGTGAGTATTCTATCACGGGGTCAGACTGGAGGTTATAACTTTGGCGTTCTTGGACCAGCGCCTTTGTGTTTAAGATGTCTGGAGGAAGAACTTGAGAAGCCTGCATGGAACATGCTCGACTACGAGTCGAAGCTGCCTTCATTCTGTATAGACTGATATCCTTTTAGTCAACGCGCAAGATAACAAAGACGTAACAAGAACAAGACAACATAGATAGATATCTTCTGAGCCTGCAGGCGCACACTGCTTCGCATACGTAACACATGAATGGAAAGAGTATGCAATCCGAGGAACACCAAGAGTCGATGGCGAGTGCGGTATACTCGCCGAGAACGGAAGATATAACAGGCGGGTAACCGAATTAATGCGGAGAGTGTTCTAGAATCTGCGAAGCTCCTCAAACTTGACCAATTCGTCCATGTAGGAATACAAGCATTGTTATTTCGCCGCTATAGAGGTTTTCCAAGATCGTCGGTATCTCGCTACGAGTACGGGCCATTTAGCGATTGGCCTTGCGGACATGCAGATTGGGGACCTAGTATGTGCTTTTGCTGATGGACATGCTCCGTTCATTTTGCGGCGTGAGAAATGCCAGTTTGGGGTGGGATGGTGTCGGAAATGGCGTAATAAGAATTTTCATCTTGTTAGTGATAGTTAGGTCCATGGAATGATTGATGGCGAATGCTGGGAGGGACAATTGCGCGTCGAAGATATTGTGTTGACATAATCTTTGATGTTTGCGACATTGCACAATCCTGCATTCAGACATGTTTCCGGTGAACCCGGATGGGCACTATTGACCGGTCGGTCGTACCATGCAAGGCAGACATCTCTCTGATACGCCTGGGAAATGCGCATTCAGCCTGCTTTCTTGCACAGCCCTGCCCTCCTGGGCTGTGGTAGCCCCCTGAGCTTGTGTTGTAGGTTCAAGGTTTCGCCGATGCCCTCCAAGATGACGGGCAGATCAGACCCGCTCGCACCTCGTCGTTGTTACTTCCATCGCACCCCGTGACCACCAGCATCATGCAGGGTTCTAAGCTCTCTCTGCTGCTATTCGTCCAATTCTCCTCAGTGGATGCATTAGCGATTGCCTCGCTTGTTCGAAGCTACCCAAGCGCAGCCGTCCCCATTACTGGTGGCCAGCCCTGGTCCAGACAAGACGTGCTCACCCTCGTCGGTGTGTGTGTTGCAGTTGTCACTGTCGTTATCGGATTGGTTGGCGTACTCATCGCGTCGCCTAAAGCACGAGGGTGGCTGTGCAGACCCATCTATTGGCTCACAAAACGCGGGCCGCTTGGTAAGCACCACCCCCTATCGACCAAAACAGTATAGAGGCTTACCACGATCAGAAAAAGAGCATGTGAAAGCTACACAGCGAAGACACC